GCATTACAATTGCTTCGGTGTTTCTGATTCCCAAGAACAAACATAAAAGCTGTTTTCTTATATCATCACAGATACAGACATAAAATGGAGCTTGGGCTTCACCCCAAAGAAACGACAATTGATTTATTGAAGCAAATCATCTATTTTTTGAAAATTAATAAAATGAATGCTTATAAACATATAATTACTTGGCCCCAATATCTAAGAAACAACACATGTCAAAACATGCCAAAACAACCAGCTTGAAACCTGGTAGAAACTGGCCTGGCCAATCCAGCAGAGGAAGCCTGACAGTTGTTCCGAGCATTAGTTGCCATCTAGGTAGCTATTTGGATCTTGCTTGAATTTAAATCAGCCCTCAAATCCAATCTTCCTGCTTGATATATCAGAAGATGGAGGAGGTTCTTTGGCAAGCCTTTGCCTGATTTGTATCATGATCTCTTTAACTTATATATTTGTTTGTTTGAGTGTTTTTCATGGAATGTTGTATATGGATGTTGTATCAGTGTTCTATTTTATGTAAGTCCCTGAACATAGCAATAGCAGTAGACTTATATACCGCTTCATAGGCCTTTCAGGCCTCTCTAAGCGGTTTACAGAGAGTCAGCATATTGCCCCCAACAATCTGGGTCCTCATTTTACCCACCTCGGAAGGATGGGAGGCTGAGTCAACCCTGAGCCGGTGAGATTTGAACCGCTGACCTGCTGATCTAGCAGTAGCCTGCAGTGCTGCATTTAACCACTGCGCCATCACATCTTTTGATTGCAGTAGGATAGACACATGAAGAACAAACAAACTGTTGTGGCATCACAGTTGATTTAAACCTCTGATAATGCAGTGGACAAATATTCAATTTGATTCAGGGAAACAAAAGCAGCAGGGAGAGCTGGGCCATGGCATCGTGAGGCTGGGAGGTGCGTGAGCCGGGAGCGGAATAGCCACTCACGCACCCCCCCTCCAGCTGTGCATTCACTGGCATTTTGAAGGCGCCAAACCGTGGGAGCCAGATGGCGTTGAACAGGCGCTCACACTGCTTGGCAATATCTCTAGGTCAGTGAATGTTGCTGTGCCCAGCTGGAAAGTGGGATTGCCGGGTGGCTGCTCATGAGCATGGTCACTTCACGGCTGTTGTGTTGCACTGCTGCGACAGCGCAACACAGCCATTCACCCATGAGGCTGTGCCCGGCTCTTTGGGAGTCTGCTCGCAAGAGAGCAGCCGGCTGGCAACCCCCCTCTTCATCTGGACACAGCGCTGCTCACTAACCTAGCGGTACCCCGAAGGCACTAAGCAATGCGATGATTTTTGCCTTCCCCCCGGTTCCCACGGCTTGGCACCTTCGGGACACCGCTAGGTTGGGGAGCGGCGGTCTGCCTGGCCAAAGGTGGAGAGTTGTCCACGGGGTTTATTTGTGGGGGAGGGCTTATATTTTTACCCACCAGAAAAATGTGGCATGGCCTTATTATCAGGACATGTCATATTTTCGGGGAAACACAGTACAAGTCAACTTTGTTCCAACCATGCTGGAAACATGCTGGAAACCATTAAAGCCTGCATCATATTCTGTGCAAAACAAGATATTGCTTTCGGGGACTTAACGAAGTATTTAATTCAAGCAATAAAGGCAGTTATTTGGCTTAATCCTGGATTTTAGCCAGCTGTTCTTACTTTTAATTGGTATCGCGCATTACTAGAAGGACTAAGTAAAAATGAAATGTTCCAGAAGAAGAAATGACTAGATTTAATTATTGTTTTAAAATGAAATACTGAATAAGTTTCTAGCCCAATCATTCAATAATGTTGCAGCTTTGAGTTTCATAACAATAACACTATCATTAGTGTAATAACACTGTTATTGTTCTTGGGTTTAGAGAGCCCAATTTCTACAAGCCTTTCTGATTATGCTTTTCTTCCCAGTTCCAGATAAATATTGTTAAGTTGGGGTCGAATTTTCCACGCCTTCATCCCAGGTTTCACTCCAGTGGTGGGATTCAGCCAGTTCGCACCTATTCGGGAGAACTGGTTGGTAACTTTCTAAGCAGTTCGGAGAACCAGTTGTTGGAAGAAATCTTATTTTTCCCCCCACTTTACAGTGCTAATCCTGTAAGGAAGGCAGGAAGGAAACATTCTGGTGTTGTTTCTAGCCTAATATTTATTGCCCTGCTTACAGAAACTGCCTCTCTGGTTAACCCTTATTACATTGTAACAGCTAAGGTGAAGCATCCATCAATGTGAATGATGTTGAGTTGGCCATGCCACCCAGTCACATGACCACCAAGCCACACCTACCCTGCTTGTCATTAGGGCAGAGAACCGGTTGTTAAATTACTTGAATCCCACCACTGCTTCACTTCCTAAGCATATTTAACAAATATGATAAGGCATGTCTTGAAATTAAACAAGACCATAGAACTGCGTGTTCATTTCAGGGGTTTTCCCCCACTTCAACAATATGGGGACTTCCAATTTCACAAATTCTGCAATAGTGATCTTGTTCAATCAAAATAGCAAAAGATCGTAAGGTGATACCAGGATACAATGAAACTTTGAGCTGAAGTATAAGAAAAAGAGTGTGAGTGGAGACAATTGTATATCCAATAAAAATGAATAAAACTAAATGGGATCAGGGTTAATGAGGAAATAAAGAAGAGCAAGTACTTATCTAATAATTACAAATTCCAGTTGTATGAATTCAAAAGGTTTCAACTTACAAACCAATGCTTGATTCTCTGCTAAAGACTTAGACTGAATTGATGGAATGCATTTCCTTATTTCTATTTGATGGTTACTCTTTCTTTTTTAACTGAAGTTATATCTTTGATTTCCATGAACAACACTCTTGGATTCTCAAGTCTCAATTGTGATTATACTTTTTCAGGAAAGAATTTACTAGAATTTATTGTAATGCAGCCTTGCTGGTTGATTTTTTAAAATTAAAAAAAATGCATTAAAACATTTTTGATCTTTTCCTAGTTTGTACTCTTGATTCTCAGCCTTAAATTCATAGATTACTCAATTGGGTAATTATTATTTTCCCAATGTTATGTTGAATGAAGATCTGGGATTACAAAATGTACATCTTTAAGTGTACTTTGTGATCTTTTCCAGCAATGGAGTCATTAATTGTTAATTTTTGAACTGGAAAAAAAAATCTGAGTAACTTCCTTTCATTGTTTTTAATCTGATCAATGAGGAAATAGACCCCTTATAGTGTCATCCATTAAAAATGCATGGATTCTGGTCTATAACTTTGCTATTTTATTTGAATTCCATTAATTCAAATAAATTAATATTATGGTGGTGGATTTTTTTCTGCCCATTTTGATTGGGCATATAATTTGTGAATTTCACCTAAGGAATATACTGTATGTACTAATATAAACATGTTTATTATACAAATTAAGTCTGAATTGATAGCCCCTTTGTTCCAAATAAATGTGTAGCTGGATTGCAGTTTGATATTCTTTTATATCTCTTTTTTTCAGAGAGAGAGAGGGGAGGGGGAATGTAGTGATTTCATCAGCTTGTCCTGTAATCTAAAAGCCATTAAACAAATGTGATTTGACAGTGAATAACTCAAGCAGTTTTATATTAACCTTTATGTGTAAGTCAAGGATATCTTAACCTTGATTGATATGATTTGTAATTTATTGGTCAGGACTGGACCAAAAAGAAAAAAAAGAAAGAAAAAAGAAAGTACGACCGTTTGGCCTACAAAATTGCCCTGTTCACGATTACGTATATGGCTGTCTATCCCTTTGTTTCCAATAATGTTCACTCCTGGATGAATATGTAGATTGCACATTTTAATTGTCCATTTCAAGGTGTGTAAGAGTTTAAATTAAAGAGTTTTGCAAACATTCCTTTCTATGCCTTAAAGCAAGCCCTCTCAAACAGAAATCTGGTTAGATAGCATGAAATGAAGTGTGTGACAATACAATGAAACTTATCAGGGGCCAGAGAATATATGAGAATGTTGTTTGTTTTATGAGTTCCTAAAGTGGTATGTGGGGATGGCCTTAGGAACATTGCCTAGGGATAGTCAGATTAAAGACAACATAGTCTGTATCTGGATAATGGAAGAGACAAGAGGCTCAAAAGAGACCTTTCCCAATTCTTCAATGTGTAAAGGAGATAGGGGAAGAATTAAGTTTGCATAATATTTTACCAGGTGGCTCAGGTAGGAAACACAACCAGGTGAGTTAATTCTACTTTACTGTAGGCCACATTAATAGTAAGTGTGAAAGCATAATTCCTCCTATATCTCTTAAAGCCCAAGAAATTAAGGCGGGGACTCTCACCCCCCATCCCCCCCAAAAAACCCGACCTGTTGTCTCTTATCTGACATTTGCCGAGACAGTCCAGTGTTAGGTCCAGCCTTAAAAAAACCTTCCCACATATCACTACAGTATTCATCTAGAAAAAGTCTGTTTCAATTATGTAGTTTAAATAGGTTTGTTCACATGTATGGATTGCAAAGAAATGCACATATATTTACAATTATGATAACTGTGGTNTGATGAAGTCATGCATCTTAATAGTGGAGTGGAATTGGTTGTATCTATCACCTATTTCTACCGTTTTATGCCTTCCCCCAATTTTGTGCTACACACGTTTTTGTGGATTTGAGTTGCAAAGCCAAGAAGCACAGTTGTGAGAGTAAATGTTTAGTTGCATAATAGTGGTGGTAGGGCTTTGTTTTTATAAAATAAACTTTATTCCAATGAAGGGCCCTTGTCTAGTAAACATACATAGGATTGTATGTTGCAAAATCAAGTGTAATTTTATTCATGCTTAGTTGAAGGAAATGGCCCTGAATTTATTTGCAGATGTGCAGGACAATAGTAGTTTTAAAAAGCCATGTTACATGCAGATGGTATATTAGGACTAAATAGGATGCTTGTTGTTAATACTGATCCCCCCCCCCTTAAATATTTATTGCATTGTGCATTTGGATAAAATGAAAAATATGGACATTTTCACATTGTTTTAGAGAGACTACAATGAACCTTGTGGATATTGTTCTGCTGTCAGCTGGAGCGTAACAGAAGAAGGCAGATTTTACTGCACATCTTGCCACACTGTCATAGAAGTAAGGTTTCTGTTATTTATTTCCCAATTTTGAAACTCACTTTGAGTGTAAATCTTTAAATATTAATTATTAACATCAAATACATGAATGCAATCTATGAACTTAAATACAGTAGTTGTAGACCTGGTCTTGTTTTTTTAACTGAATAATTTTGGGCATGTGTATTAACAATACATCTTTTCAAAACTTGCAGAAGACTAGAGAAGTTCAAACTGGTGATGTTATTACTAATGCAAGGGCACAGTCTATCTCTAGAGGATTAAGAAAAAGGAAGAATAAATTTGGTAAGATTTATTTTTTATCAGTTTGTTATAAAAGTATAAAATATTGATTTTTCTCATCATATACAGCTAATGCTGAACAAGTTTACAGCCTTCTCATCCCATATGTTGTGCTTGTTTATGTCAGTTCTTCAGTGGGGGTAATAAAAACAATCTGTAGGTTATAAATTTATAATAAATATAATCTGTGGGTTATAGGTTTATTCGTAGCTGGAGTTTCAGCATCAGCTTATGAAACTAGACCAGGGCTACTAGGCTGTGGCCCATTGAGTACTGGCCTGTGCAAGCAGTGTGTGTGATACTTGAGAGACCGCCTACTGCCAATTACCTCCACACAACCTATTAGATCTCACCGGTTAGG